TATATATATAAAAATCCAGAATCTGAAATCTAAGCATGCATTCCTGTATCTATGAGTGTTATTTTTATATGTTTCTTATATATATATAAGAAACTTCAGAATCTGAAATTTAAGTATGTACTGAGGAGAACCATGGGAGAGGAAAATGGTATCGAATTGTCAGGACTTGCTGATGTCTGGAATTGTTCTCTCTCTCGTAGCTCAGCGCTCTTTGCAAACACTTGGACAACGTATGGGAAGAGAATCGGGGCTGCGTGGTCTTATTTGCCTGGATGCAGTTTCTGAAGGAAGAAACTCTGAGTTACCTGAACATCTCCTCCCCGTACGAACTAAAACTGTGCCACCAAGGGAGCGGGCAGAGCAGGACCCCTCTGGTCCCTCCCGATGCCGAGGACGGCGGTGGCGCCGCAGGCTCTGCCGCAGCCGAGGAGGAAACCGTGGACGGGAGAGCAGTGCAGGACGTGGAGTCGCTGCCCAGCCTGATCAGGGAAATCCTGGACTTCGATCAGGCTCAGCGCAGGAAGTGCTTCAACAGCAAGATGTACTTGTGCAACATCTGCTTCTGCGAGAAGCTGGGCAGCGAGTGCATGCACTTCAATGAATGCAGCCACGTGTACTGCAGGGCGTGCCTGAAGGACTACTTTGAAATACAGATCAGGGACGGCCAGGTCCACTGCCTCAACTGCCCCGAGCCCAAATGTGCTTCTGTGGCTACTCCTGGCCAGGTAATCGAGTGTGCGAGCCGGGGCAGTACCGTTCTGCTAAGTTACCCCTAACTGCAGAGGATGAGGTGTGGTTTTCCGTGGTGAGCACTGGGAACATAGCTGGGGAAATTGGGGTTTTTTCATGCTCTGAGCCACCCAGAGGCACTGGAGTTAATCCTGGATCACTTGGCATGTATTTTGCCCACTGTGTTAGTACTGGCGTTGGTCAGAGGCCTGAATTCATGTCCCATTGCATTTGACGCTGCATCCTTTTAATCTGATGAATTATTATTGACAGGACATGGGGCAATGGTCCCAAGCTGGAGCATAGAAGGTTCAATCTGAATATGAGGAAAATCTTTGTCCGTGTGAGGGTTATGGAGCATGGCCCAGGCTGCCCAGAGAGGTTGTGGAGTCTCCTTGTGTGGAGACACCCAAAGCCCTGGCCGTGTTCCTGTGTGACTGCTCTGGTGATCCTGCTGTGGCAGGGGTTGCACTGGGGGAGCTTTCCAGGTCCTTCCAGCTCCTCAGATTCTGTGATTATTAAAACAGCATTCCTAGGAGCGTTTTCATGACCTATAAAGTGGATTCATCCCAGTTGTAGGTACTTTGTCATCGACTTACTGGGGTTTTTTGCTGCAGTTAGCAGGCCCGGGGTCTCAAACACACATAATCTTATTTGGCTTGTTGTTCAGGTCAAGGAGTTGGTTGGGGAGGAGCTGTTTGCACGTTATGACCGCCTGCTGCTGCAGTCCAGCTTGGACCTGATGGCGGACGTGGTGTACTGCCCTCGGCCGGGCTGCCAGACCCCGGTCATGCAGGAGCCAGGCTGCACCATGGGCATGTGCTCCTGCTGTAACTATGCTTTCTGTACTCTCTGCAAGATGACCTACCACGGGGTGTCTCCCTGCAAAGTCACTGCAGGTGAGTCCTCATTACTCGGGAGTGGAGCACGGGGCAATTCAGCCTTGTGTGAACAAGGAAGTCAGAAATGAAGCAAGGAAACTCATCACTGTGAGCTTTGGAAAAGATCAACAGGTTCATGTGGAGTAATTCTGCTGCTGGCAATTAAAAAGTGTTCCTTTGCTGGCACTCCACAGCTCGGGAGGTCCCTAATTTGCTGATTGCCAAATTCTGAGAGGTGATAGCAGGGGGAGAATAATTTTATATGTGCCTTTTTTTACCCTTTCCTGTGAATCCACTTCTTTCTGCTGTCAGAGCTGGAACCAGGTGGATGCTTCTCTCCCTGTTTGGCCTCAAAATCCTGTGACAAAGCTTTATCAAATGTGTAGTCAGAAAAAAAATATTCCTGCTTTTCAGTGTATTTTCCGTTGTAGATTTGTTCCAGCTGCACTGACTGGTCCCTTTTATAATGAGTGCAAATGTTGAATTTTGAGGTGGAGGAATTTCAATACTCTGACATTTTTCTTATGTATTCAAATGTTTTACTTGTTTTTTAATTAATGCTGTTAGTTTCCTTTGAGAACACTTTATGCTGTTATTAGCTGGACTTGTTCATTTCGTGTGTCACAAAAGCCATTTTGATTTTTTTGGTGGTTTTTTTTTTTGTTGGTTTGTTTAATTTTCCAGAGAAATTAATGGCTTTGCGAAATGAATATTTGGAAGCCGATGAGGCAACTAAAAAATTCCTGGAGCAACGCTACGGCAAACGTGTGATCCAGAAAGCCCTGGAGGAGATGGAGAGTAAGGAGTGGCTGGAGAAGAACTCCAAGTCCTGTCCGTGCTGCGGGACCCACATAGAGGTGAATCACAGAATCCCAGAACGTCAGGGATTGGAAGGGACCTCCAAAGCTCATCCAGTCCAATCCCCCTGCCGGAGCAGGAACACCCAGATGAGGTTGCACAGGAAGGCGTCCAGGCGGGTTTTGAATGTCTGCAGAGAAGGAGACTCCACAACCTCTCTGGGCAGCCTGGGCCAGGGCTCTGTCACCCTCACTGAGAAGAAGTTTCTTCTCCAATTGAAGTGGAACCTCCTGTGTTCCAGTTTGTGTCCGTTACCCCTTGTCCTATCATTGTTTGTCACCGAGAAGAGCCTGGCTCCATCCTCGTGACACTCACCCTTGAAATATTTATAAACATGAATGAGGTCTCCCCTCAGTCTCCTCTTCTGCAGACTAAAGAGCCCCAGCTCCCTCAGCCGCTCCTCAGAAGGGAGAGGCTCCACTCCCTTGATCATCTTTGTAGCCCTACGCTGGACTCTCTCCAGCAGTTCCTGTCCTTCTTGAACTGAGGGCCCAGAACTGGACACAATATTCCAAATGTGGTCTCACCAGGGCAGAGTAGAGGGGGAGGAGAACCTGTCTGACCTACAACCCCCCTCCTGATACACCCCAGGATGGCATTGGCCTTCTTGGCCACACACAAGGAGTAACACCAGCGCTGATAGAGTCGGGGTAAATGGCACCCATCAGTTGGTGCGTTTTTGAGGCAAGATCTCATTTAATGATGGCTGTTTGTTGTTCCCTCCCCACAGAAGCTGGACGGCTGTAACAAAATGACGTGCACTGGCTGCATGCAGTATTTCTGCTGGCTTTGTATGGGCTCTCTGTCGAGGGTGAACCCCTACAGACACTTCAATGACCCCTCTTCGCCCTGCTTTAACAGGTACTTGCACCTATTTCTCCTAGTGCCAGACCACTTATTTTCCTATTTTTTCTTACAGTCTCTCCTTCTTACCTTGAAATCTGTAGCTCTACAGTTTGAGACACAGTTTCTTCCTTAAATATTTACACTTACGAGGACCTGACACATTAAAAACTTCAGGAGTGATTTGGGATACAGGTTTACTCTTTAAGAACTTTTTGGTTTAAAACTCTGGACAAGCCCTCTGGGCCCATTCCTAAAAACCTGCTGTGCACTATTTGTGTGTATTCCACTGGGTTATGTGCCCATCGCTGCGAGTTACGGTGCCTGGATACAGAAGCCAAATAGCAAAGGTTACTCAATCTTCCACCCTCTGTTCTGCTGCAATCGCTGTGGCTGACAGGATTTATTATTTTCTTCTTCTTGGCCTTTCTTGTCAGCATTCCCTCTTCCCACAGCAGTATTTTTTTTACACTTCCTACCCTGTTTTCCTTTCTATTTTGCTTCTGGTGTTCTTTTTTCTTTTAGTTTAGCTTAACTCCTACCGAGCTTGACTAAGCTCATCTGTTTAAAAAAAATCACAGAATCCCAGAGCGTTAGGGATTGGAAGGGACCTCCAAAGCTCATCCAGTCCAATCCCCCTGCCGGAGCAGGAACACCCAGATGAGGTTACACAGGAAGGCGTCCAGGCGGGTTTTGAATGTCTGCAGAGAAGGAGACTCCACAACCTCTCTGGGCAGCCTGGGCCAGGGCTCTGTCACCCTCACTGAGAAGAAGTTTCTTCTCAAATTGAAGTGGAAAAAATCCCCAAACTCTTCCCTTATTTTCCTCCTTTACTTACACACTGTAGTTGCTTGCCCGGCTCTGTGTTGTCTGATTAGATTGCAAGCTGGTTTTTTTAATATACATTTTACTTTTTGTACATCCTGATGTGAAGCTTGGCTGTCTTGCAGGTTGTTTCAAGCCATGCACATCGACGGTGAGTTCTGGGAAGCTGAAGATGAAGACCAGTAGCTTCCTGGAGCACCAAAAGCTGACCAAACCAGGGACAGATGCTTTCTGTTTTTGTGGCGAGTTGGTTTGCTTTTCACCTCCATTACGTGATCTGCCTTGTGCCGTGGGATACTCGCACTTCCCAGGCTGTGGCCAAAACCAAAGGAGTCGGTTTTGCCCATCCTGTGGTCAGGATCAGCGTGCAAGGCCCTGATAATCACCTCGATAGCTACAGATGGATGCTACTGGTCAGAAGTCGGAAAATTGCTGGGAAAATTTATGGAAATTAAACACTATAAGATAAATATGGGAATGAAATACTGGAAAAATAGGAGGTGCTGCTTTTTCAAAATCAACCAACCCAAAGAAATGTTTGGGGGTTTCGTGTGGAGGATCTCGGCTCGTGCCCGCCGTGGGGTCGAGGGCAGCTTTCTTGTCGCTGTCGTTCGTGCTCTTTCTGTGACGCTGTGTGGGCAGGGAAAGCAGCTCCTTGCTCTGGCACCGACACTTCCTAACCATAGTAAAGTTAATGATCCCTTACCCCCTTCTCGCCGCCTGTCTCTGCGTCACTGAAAGCTTTGGCAGAAAATGACCAGCAGCCAGTTCCAAACATTTGAACCCGTTTGGTGGCTCCTCTCGGTGCTGCTGCTGTATTCACTTGTGTTGCCTTTTATTTGGACAGGGGTGAGTGCCGAGGCTGTGGCCAGTGAGAGGGTGAGAAGGCTCAGTCCGATCTGAAGCAGGTTTTTATGGATGCACAGTTGAGATTAACTTGAATTCTTCAAGATACTGAAAGTTCCCTTCTCAGACAACAAAGTAATTTATTTTTCACTGACTCTTCATGTAAGAAATTTGATTTAGTTTTGAATAGTTTTGCTCTGGGACTAGAGCCCTTATTTCCACTGTTCTTGCACTTCAAATAATTTAAAAAAAACCCAAATGGTTTCCCCTGAAAGCTCAGTCAGTAGTTTTGTGAGCATGAAAGGGAACCACTAATTTTTTAGAAGATTTTCCACTTGCAGAATGGTCTAAAAAATTGTATTTTGAAATTGAAACTGCATGTGCTGTGTTCAAAACAACTACCAGGGTCTGGATGGATAGCTCAGGAGCTGGAAGACTTCAGAAACTCAAGGTGAACACCTCTCACTCCGTTTGGACTGAGAGTAAATAAATCTCTACTCTGCTGTCTGGCCACAGTGAGTGCTGATGTGGTCCCTTTTGCAGAGGATGAAAGTCTGGACTGTTTTGCTTGGCAGTGATTTCAAAGATCAGGGATGCTAAGAGCAGATCTCTTGCCTTGGTTTAAGCTATAGGAC